GAATCCCCCTTGACTGTGTGACGATGGTGGGGTTCTTTTAGTCAGCTCCATGGCAGTACTACCAGTCTCTAAGTGACATGTTATCAGTCTCGACATATTTCTCTTGTGTGTAAGACCGACACGAGACAACGCCACTCGCGAAGACGAAAGCCCCCTTTTTCCTTTTCTCCTACACCACAAGAATTATGCAGATGTACATGTGGTTGAGAAGTCTCTTTGACTTTTACAGCTGGCCTTGAACAGGGGATGAGGAGAATTGAGGCTGAGAGGTTATAGTAAGGGAGGCTGAGCTGCGGGGAGCGGCGCTGCCGTTGCACGTGCATGGCAGGTCCAAAAGAGCAGGTACATGCAGTCGAGCAAACGTGTTACGATCTTGAGATTTGGACAAGCCACTCTGGTTGGCTGCCATCGTTGGTAGAAGATCAGCACAGCCCTGGCCCGGCCGTGCCTGAAGTTGGGAATGATGTGCATGATAGTCTGCACCGTTGGGCCATCAGGTGGTTGCGGGGTCGTAAAGAGACGGACGATATATTGCGGGGTTGATAAAGATACAGAAGTTTGATTCCAGAGACCAGACTGCAGCAGTGTCATGGACAGATGCAGTGGTAGGCCAGTAAGGAAGTCCTGGAGCTGTTGTGCAGCGTGATGCAGCAGACGGATGTTTCTTGGATGGGCAGCATCGTCAAAAGCACAGCCTTGCTGTGCAACCAGACTGAGATGTCATGTTTGACTTATCCGCTTGTCTTTGTTCGTATCACAATAGCGTTCTTTTCCCTCGGTTGCTTGTTCTCCAAGTCAACATCGCTGACGGCCATGGCAAAACCTCGAGGAAGAATTACGAGAAAAAAGCAGGTCGAACCATGATTGTTTGGCTCTCGGACAGGGGTCAAGCAAAGCGCTGTATGGATGACCCCAGCAAAGCCAACCCTAACCGCCCCGAGCCAAGGACGACGTCCGCTGCCTGACTGCAAGTGCCGCTGCAGAGCCAACAGCAAGCCCAAAGGCGGAGCCGCTTCGTGGGCGTGCCAGGGTGTGTTGGGCGTGCCAGTGGCTGGGGGAATGGGGCCGGCTGGGGAAAGTCCAAGTGAGGGGGTCTGGAAGAGATCTTCTCCTTCAGGGCCTGTACCAAAGCAATGACAGGCGGGTTGCCACACACCCACACGAGGCACATAGGTTTGATTCAAATCATGCACGCAGGAATCTGTACACAGCCAGCCACTATGCAATTGGGTTTAATTTGAATTTTCTTCTCCATCGCTTCAGATCTGTTGTAGCCTTCCTCCTGCTGCTGATCATGCAAGCAGCCAAATCCTGTGAGTCAGTATAAATCTTTGGCCAATACTCCCTTGCGAGCTCCTTCCTTCCTTTTCCCTGGCCTGGGCTTTCAGCTTGCGGCGGAACTCGCTCAGCACCTGAACACCTGCTATAATAGTTCCTGCCGGGCCACTCAAGAGGTCACTTCCACGTGTAAGTGTACGTACACTTGGTACAGCATCCCTCAGCTCCGCTGTTATTACGCACTGGACGTACTGTACATATACATATACCTCCTAGCCTGGCCTGCTGCTGCTGCTGCTGCTGCTGCTGCTGCTTGCTCCTCCCAACCTCAAGGCTCTCCACCTTCCCCAGCCTGCCAACTTACCAACCAACGCAGAGCCAGAGCACAGCTCAGCTGCTGCTCTTTGCTTCTTTGTTCCATCTACATCTTCACTTCTCAACAGACGGACCACATCTTTCGCAATGTCCCTCCATGTCGAGGCCCACAGTCGCCGAGGCCGCTCCCGCTCGCCAGGCCGCCAGGACCGTGAACGCAGCCGGAGCCGAGGTGCTCCTCTCGTTGTTGATACAGACCCAGCAAATAACAACAATAGCTACGACTATGACTCGTCGTATGATTACGAACACGACACACGCCGCTCCTCCTCGTACAGGCCAACGGCGTCCCCTGTTGTGGCGACTGAGGAAGCTGCCTACTACCGACGAGACAGCCCGCGCGAAAAACGCGGCCATGGTCACTCGCGCTCGCAGTCCGACTCGGAGAGATCCCGCCACTCCTCAGACCGGGACAAGGACGCCAAACACAGGCCGCGCTCGGGACTTGGCCTACCGGATGCCTTCTTGCCTGCAAAGTACGCCAGGAAGCTCGAGACCTCGGACGCCTACAACTTCATGACGGCTCCCATCTCGGACCGCTCCCGCGACAGGTCGCGTGACCGCCGCGCCGAGAAGAAGGAGAAGCTCGACCAGGATCTCGCCTATGGCAAGCTGCCTGGGGTCCCGCCTCCGCACTCGTCCTCGTCGTCAGGCAGGGATCCTCGTCCTGTATCTCCGCGGCCCTTGTCGCCTGCTTCGCCGTCGTATGAGTATGCCAGCATGAGCCAACACAACAACCATCACCGAGATCACCACCAGGACCATCAGCAGCAGCAACAGCAGCAGCCATCATATGAGAGACACAGCCGCAGAGACTCCCATCTGACCGAGCAGCAACCCAGACGCAGCACCGACTTGCTCGCCGTCAATGACGGCCGCTCCGGGCGTGGCCGCAGCCGCAGCGGCAGCAGGAGCTCAAACACAGGACGCGAGCGCTCCAGTGACAGACGAGACAGCAAGAGGCACTCACACTCACACCGCGACTCTTTGCCCGCCGAACCGAGCAACGCTGAGAATGGACCCCGCAAGAGCGCCATGAAGCGCAACTCGTCGCCGCAGCCCCCAGTCAGCAAGATGTCGTCCTTGTCTGTCAATACGGCCTACAACGCCGGCTCTCTGTCGACTGCGCCGCCTTCGCCGCTCCTCGAGTCCTACCACGGCACCTACCAGTCCATGTCGCCCATGCCTTCGCCGCTACTGCTTCCCACCCATCAATTTCCCATTGGCTCGCAGCAAATTGTCAATATCTCTCCGCTCAACTCCGATGATGAGAGCAACGGGAAACGTCGGACGCGCCGCGCACGCTTCGCCGATCCACAGGATGACGCGCAGCGACTAGCAGACGCCCTGAAAGGCAATAAGGCCCCTCAGACAGAGCCCATGATTGAGATCCTGCCAGGTCTCACTCACGAACAAATCATGGACCTCCGGGCCGAGTATAAGCGCCTCGTCAAGACGGGCCCGGAGAAGAAGGGTGTCAACGTCGCCAAGCACATTCGCGTGCGCCTCAAGGACGCCGACACATCGCTCATGAAGGCGTGCTACGCCACAGCGCTGGGGAGGTGGGAGAGCGAGGCATACTGGTCGAGTTTCTGGTATCAGGGCGACAAGACGCGGCGCGAGCTGCTGATTGAGAGTCTCATGGGCCGGCCCAATGACGAGATTCGTCAGATCAAAGAGGGTTTCAACGACAAGACGTACGATAATAGCCTGGTGCGGTGCATGAAGCACGAGCTCAAAGAGGACAAGTTTAAAAAGGCAGTACTGCTCGTGCTCGAGGAGAAGCGCATGGAGGATGTGGACAAGCACGGCCGGGCGCTGCCTCTCGATATGTATCTTGTCGAGGATGATGTCGATGACTTGCGGAGTGCTGTGAAGGCTGAAAAGGGGGGCGAGTCAGCGATGATTAATATTGTGGTGAAGCGCAGCGACGCGCATTTGCGAGAGATCTTGCGCGTGTACAATGACAAGTACCGCTCCAACTTTGCAAGGGACGCCCTGCGTAAGAGCGGGAATCTAGTGGTGAGTCTCCCTACTTCCTGTAACCTTGTATTTGGTCGCCTATTTGATACATGGTTCTAATGTGCCACTACTGCCAAACAGGGCGAACTCCTCGCACACATTCTCAACGGCGTCATCAACAAACCCGTTCGCGACGCCCTCCTCATTCACCACGCACTTACAGCGTCCAAGAAGGACGCCCTGCGGCGAGAGCTGCTCACGTCACGGCTTGTGCGCTTCCACTGGGACGGCGCGCACATGATTGCCGTCAAGCGCGCGTACCAGGAGCGCTACGGCAAGGATATGATGGACGCGGTTGCAGACGGCACGGCTGGCGAGTGGGGTTCCTTTTGCCGTGAGTTGTGTATTACGCGCATGCCAGATCGGGTGGAGAAGTTTCATGTCTCGCGGTAGGGAACAAAGTTTGGATGGCCTGTTCGTGAAGACAACTTTGAGGGTTGGAAATACTGGTGTTGGTGTCGATGCTGATATTGACGATGATGATGATGATTACGATTATGATGAGCTTTAAAAAGCAGGAATGTGTGGATGAACGGGTGGGTTGCTGCATCAATTTTACGATTGAATGTGAAGACTCGCTCGCTGGATGGGTTGCGGTAGTGGAAATTGAGACAGTGCTCGATGCTGCCACGTAGAGACTAGGGTGCATGTGCGGCATATGTATTTACACATCGATGTACATTCACAATTGAATTGTATATCAATCTAAAATTTGTACATCAATCTAAATTGATATCGTTGAACGAAGCTCGGCAATTTGAATGCGCTCGCTGTTTCTAGACTGGGCTGTTGGGATTACTTGGTTGCTCATTGCAAGCATCGAGCTCAATCAAGAGACAGTTGTGTACTTATGATCCATTAAGTACGGTGAAGTATAAAATCACATCACTACCTAGGTCTGTGGGTAAGTCCATCACTAGCAGTATCCCACAACGTGAAATCTTGGAAGCACAAGGCTTACAAGGGACCAGAGTTCCAAGTCCAACCGCCCCCCCCCCCAAAAAAAACCTAAAGGCACGTACAATGTGCAAGCTTTCCGAATTATCATGCATTTTCCTCCTTCCTGTGAGTACCAAATACCACCCGATTCCAAAAGCCATGTATCTGTGTTTCAACATTCACTCATTTCACAGTCTATTGAATCCCGCCCACCATTCATGGCCCTTCCTCCGCAGAAAACCGAGGCCCCTGCCCTCTTCCCCTCTTCCCCCGAATGCCTTTGGAAAAAGAACATGAAATAAATCGCCAGCCGACAGAACTCCTGGCGCCAAAACATCGCACAATCTTGAGTTCATGCCAAAAGAGACGCAAGAGCACCAAAAGGATGATCCGTACAGGGATCGAACCTGTAATCTCCTGATCGCGAGTTTAGAGTCGTAGTCAGACGCCTTGCCATTGGGCCAACGGACCGATGCTTGCGATTCATATGTGGATCTGGTTGAATATATCGTCGATTGCGATTGGAGGACTCGATACAAAGCCTAGACGCGGCAGTCGCTGTGGCCACGACGAAGACTCAAATGCGTTGAACTCAGCGCTGTCACTTTTGACTAGACGCCTTCATGGAGGTTGTTGTACCGTGTGAACATCGTGCCGAGCTCCATGCCTGAGTCATTGTGGAAGCCCCACTGGATCATGCTGGTCTGGCTGTGTGCGCTGTGTATCTGAATAAATTCAGCTATTCGTACCGATTTTGAACCGCGGATATGGCCAAACTCGCGCTTAATTAGTCTTTTCTCGTCACCGACCAGCACCAAAAGTCCATGGTAGAAGTACTGCATCACCATGATTAGTTCCCCATCCCCACTGACCGAGTCTCTGTCTCGTATGGTCGCTCTTGTGATGCACACTGTTGGGTATGTTCGCGTTGAAAAATTCTCGCGTTCCCTCAGGACGACCGGCTGCTCTACATTCAGCACCCGGACATCATTTCAGTGATGGGCAGAATACCATAAGCATAGCCAAGATGGGAGTTATATTGTTGGCTGCAATGAATGGACCTACCAGGTCTTGCGGGCCGCTGCTCCTCGGACTCTCCTTGCCAGACTGGAGAGGTGTGGTCGTCAACAACGGTCGATGAGTGTCCAGAGGATGTCTTCACGAAGCCGCTGCGAGAATGAATCGAGTTGACTACTGAACGTTCAATGTTCGCCATGCATGCTTTTGCGCTAGTCCACAGCATTGTTGGACCATGCTCATTCGGCCACCGGTTCAAAGTCGAGCTTTCCACCGATGACGTTGACTTCAACATTATTGAGGTGTCGAATTATCCCATTCGCAGCTGTCCGGACTTCTTGCCGCACCAAATCTTCGGTCTCTGTCCGCAGGTCATCAAATTCCTCGTGAATGTTGGTCTTGAGCTCGTCCACTTCGAGCCAGACACGATCGTCTATTTGTGACGACAAGTCTTGCAGGTCGCCTTCCAAGTCATCACAGCGCTTTTGATATTTCGCATACTGAGCCGACACATGCTCATCAACTTTCGAGTAGGACCCACCAAGCTTCTGTTCCAGTTCGTCAAACCGCTTTTCAAGCTTTGCTTCTTGCATCTTGAAGCGATCATCAACCAGTGCCTGTATGCGTGTCTCGAATTGACCAAACTGTTCTGAAACAACACTGCGAAGGATATCTTTCAAGGTGGCGGCAGCAATCGCCGAACCATCGGCGTCGCTGAGTCGTCTCTTCTTGGTTTTTGAGGTGTGAGTATCGGTTTCTATGACACATAGACATCAAATTAGCACTAAAAGTACACCCAAAGCAAGAACATCAGATCGTAGACGCACTGCTGGCTGTATCCGTGGAAAGTTGTCCGGACTGAGCCTCGTCATAGGCGGGCGGATTGTTTGTGTAGCCTCGCAAAAGTTCTGCTTGGCTGACAAGACACCCGCCTTTTCCTCCGTAGAGGCCCTTGATCTGGGTTTCGACGCTTTTGATCTGGCACTTTGCAGAATTCACCTCCCGACAAAGGTTGTGCAGACGGTCCTTGGTCAGAACAAATGAAGGATCTGCTGGCTTTCGCTCTTGGTCATCTTCGAGCCACAGACAAAACTTTGTCTGTTGCGCTAGCTCTGTAACGGCTTCAAATGTGATGCCATGAGCCCTGTTGCCCGGCACCAAAGGCCAAGTTGGCACCACCAGTTGCGCCGGTGAGTTCAGCTCTGCAAATAAGCACAAAGGATTTCTTCCCAAACGACTTCGCAAGCCTGACCGCTCAGCAGTCTCAAAGTTGGCATAACCGGGTGGAGCGAGCGCGAGAGACTGTATCTTATCCGCACTAACGTAGAGGAACAGGCTGGTGGCGCCGATGTGCATGGAGTGAAAGTGAACAACGATGCGTAATCTCAGCTGTAGCTCCCGGGTGACGGGGTCGAATGAGATGGCACAGGTAACTGGATTCGGGCGAGTATCGCCAAGCCAGTGAGAGCTGCCATCAGCTTGCAAGCCAGTGTCAGGAGCAGAAACAGGACGAGAATCAACATCAGAAACACTATGCGTCCACTCAATTCCAGCGGCACGAGTCAAGGTCCACGCAGACTCTTTGCGATTTGGCGAAGAACCGCCCGGCTCGACAATGTCGGCTCCATGCCAAGCGGTAGGCAAGGCAGTCGATCTATCGGACATGGCGCAGCAGCCAAGTGTGATTAAATGGCGGTAGTGACTGTCGCGATTCAAGTGGCCGCCCGCGTTCTGGATGCGTGGGAAACGTCCTATAATAACTGTTTTAGTATTCAACACTAAGGCTGGCAGGATAGCACCTTGGTGTTCTAGTCAAAGCGAGATAAAATTGAAACTCCCTCGTCTGGCCTCTGATGAAATCATCGAGAAGCAGTGCGAGATTTCCCACCCACCCCGGCTTTGGAAGTCGTGCAATAGAGCAGCCGTGACTCTTCGAACGATAAACAATAGTGGTCAATGTGAAGGTTTGACATATACAATAGAACGCAACGCGTAAGCACAACACAAGATACCGGTCTCGCTAGTCGGAAGCTCGGCCAAGATAGTCTTCCCAGTACCAAGGGCTCTAGTCTTGGTAGCATGGGTGTGTCCACAGCGAGCGGTTCGGAATCTGATACGAAAGAACCACGCGAGTAGGCGACAAACAGCTCACACTTGGCAGAGTTCCGCCCAGGCCCAGGTCCATCAGACGACCTGTTGCGTAGCTTGTGGGAGCGAACGACCGGTAGTGGCTTGTGTTGCTCACTCCGGAATGTGCAAATGGAGTGCTTTGCGTGCGTTTGGGAGTAAAACGTCGATGATGATGACAATGGTGGTGGTGTTGGCGGCAATGGTGTTGATGGGTTGAAGAGGGGAAAGACAGCAAACAGGGGGCTGGAAAGCACACGGGGCTTAGTTGAATTAGGTACCGAGGTACCGACACGAGATCACGTTATTGGTCATTGCGTTTACGGTAAATACTCCACTGATGCGCAACTTTCCCCGTTGCCTGGTAAGTCAATGTGCACGGACCAGCAGTATGCCAGCACCAACGCACCTTCCTGACCACGTAGGCCAGGCTCAGAATAAATGTTGCGATAATAAGTAGGGTGATAATAACGAAGCATTGTTAATTCCATTCGTGATTCGGTGTAATTACATCTCAAAACGTCTGGGTGTAAATCGCTCAAGTCATTGAACCTAATAACAACACAGTTCATATTAACATTCATTCCAAGTCGTCTGACCAAAAACGCCAGAAATAACGTGTCGAGACTGTGATTGTTAATTGTCATACTAAGAATTTTCGACAATTCTCAGGACGATCAATGCTCTAAACGTACTGCCCATTGGTATCTTATCCCGAAATTCTCATGAGGCTATATCGCATCGGAGAATTGTGAAAGGCTGCTTCAGAATTGCAGTAGCACCCCCCACTAATCAATGCGCCTACCAAGCAACAACCAAGCACCAAGTACACTACCTAGGCCTGCGCTGACCAAGACCAACTTACCACAAATCTATAACTGCCAATCCACCTCCATCAACTATACCCCACCCAGACGGTCCCGAAGCAAGCGAATATCTGAAAGAAAAGTACTTGGCCACTTTAATTAGACTTCAAATCATCAAAGCCTACTCATAGAGCTCGGTAAATGGTCGCCAACTCAGCTTCGTACGGTATGTGAAGTACTCAATTGCGAGTGCGGGCCGGACCGAGGGTTTCTTTAAGAATTTAGCTCTCGGGCTTTTCTCCTCCTGCTCTCCCTGCTTCCCGAATAGATACCCGCTTTGCCCGACTACCTTTGAACTGCAGCTGCTCTTCCGTTCAAGCAGCATATGAAATGTTTTACGAACAGCGCCGACAGTCCCTAAATATGTACGTTTCTTAAAAAACGTGCAAGACTGTCGCTGACGAGGAACAATTTTAAAACAAGAAACCGTGCAAAAGACCCAGACGAGAAAGACTTTGGTTATGTCCGCTAAGGGGAAGTCTCTGAAAGGTACCGGTCGATTCAAACATGTGCATATGTAAACGAGTACCAAAGTTACGTCTTGAAAATGAGTCAACCTATTAATACACACGGGTTGGCAATGGCAGAACACCCTGGTAGATGAGCCGACAAGGTCATCTGCAGCCACTTTACGTAATGCCTCGACCGTCGAATGTAAGACAGAATATTGCAAGACAAAGCTGATTACATCTGCGTGAGATAGTGCACTAGCGGACACAACCGACAAGGGAATCTTGACCCATGAAATGGCATAATAGTCTGGCATAACCACAATACAGGGCGAAAGATGAACGAGGTTGTGCGCATGACCATGGGTGGTTCGAGCAGGCATGGGATCTGCTTATTGTAGGTCTGTTTGTGGAGGCATTCGCTCCGTAACATGCATGCGCAAAAACCCCGCATTTTCGTCAGAGGAGGTCGGCGTCGTCATGTTGGCGTGTCCCGTTCGTTATGTCTTTGGGTAGAGGATATTATCCCCGGCCGAGCTTGTTTCACGCACACACCAGAGCATTGAAAAGGGGACTCAGAGGCACTGCTGATGCTGAAGCAATGCGATTTGACTGTGGGCAGTTCATGTTGTACGACCTGCATACACGTACTTCAGCCCCTTTCTCCAGCAACTGCACATTTTACTTCGGCTCCTTCAGCTTCGGGCCCGAAGAGCGGTTCAACATTAACTCACGGCGCCATCGTGGCAGGTTATCAATGGTTAGTGGCGTTGGAAGTTGCGCTAGTGGTAAACGGATGGTCACGCCAAAAAAGGAGAAACGGCACCTGAAACGCAGACACATGCATGCATTGTCGTTAGCCGGTGTCCAAAGTTGTGGCAGTGTCTTTTTGTGGCGCGGTGGGCTGTCTCGATATGTCTAACGAATATTTAGACAGGACGCACAAGTGGAGGCGGCTGCCGTGTCATCCAAGCGATTCTTTTCCATTTAAGATGTGAGCTTCACGATCAGC